AACGTACTAGTCGACACCGACATATCGTAGTAGTCTCTCTCTCTCTCCTACCAACTAAACAACCAACTACGTAACTAGTACGAGAAGTAGTAGTCTCTCCTCCTCCTCCCTCCCTCCTCTTCTCTCTCTCTCTCTCTCTCTCTCTCTCTCTCTCTCTCTCTCTCTCTCACACACACACACACACACACACAGCAGCAGCAGATTGACCTCGCCCCTTATCTCTCTAGATGGGGCAAGTTACAGCAAACCCCTATTCCCTTTTCCTTCTCTAAAATAAGGGATTGAGGGCTGAGGTACAATGGCAAGAAGGATGAGGAATGATGATAGCAACTAGTGGACGTGCAGGGGCAATGAAGAGAAGAAGAAGAAGATGGGGGGGGGGGTGAAAAGCAGGGACGAGGGAAAATGGCAGAAGGCATTGCAGGTCTTACTCTCTTGCTGGTTACGGAAAGGAGGCTATAAAGAGTAAAAGGTAAACCATAGTAGGAGGAAGATGAGAAATAGAGGCTCTCAGCCATAGGGGACTGGTTTTAGTAACTGTAATGGCTGCAGCAAGAAAGCCTATGTGCAGGGAAAGATGGGACAGCGAGTAGAAGGATTGATGCGAATAGAGGAAGAGAAAGATGGCAAGTAGAGAGAGAAGAGGTGTAGGTGTAGACAGATATTTAGAGAGAGCGAGGAGAGATGAAGTCAGGTAGAGTGAGAGGAACACCTGGAAATCCATAGAATACGAGGTTTCATTTTTAACTTTACAAAAATACCATTAAAAATTGCATTGTAGGGGTTGGCAATGGGTCTGGTCTGGGTCCCCAAAGGGTCCAGAACCCGGGTCAGGCCCAACTGCCCAAGTCATTAGAATCCGGGTCAGGCCCAACTGCCCAAGTCATTAGAACCCGGGTCTAGAAATTAATAAAAGAACAAAAAAAATTATTTTATATTATTCAGTATATTGTTCATATATTTAGGGTCGGGTTGACCACAACCTGGACCCCACCTGATTCAATAGGGTCCAAAACATGGACTGGGACCTGGTTCGGGTCACACCCATCAGATTGCCACACCTATTGTATTGGTACTTTCTGGAAAAGGGTATTTTAGGTAAATATTCCCTCCTATCCTCTTCTAAATATTACCCACTGTTTTCTGACCCATGTGAATGGTATAAATAGATTAACTAATATTTCAACTCCAAATCAAACAATAAAGGCATATTTCAAGAGATAAAGTTGCTGCCTTTCCTCTTATTCTCCACCTGCAGCCCATCCTCTGAACTCACATTAAATAGACACATTGAGAAGGCATCAAAGCAACTGAAATGCTTTCGAAGGACGAGTAGTAGTGGAGGGGAAAGAAGATGAACTTAAGACCCCCCTAACCAAGAAACACATCCATTCTCTAATACATGAAATGCCAAATATAATAATCACCACTTATCTGCACGTTCCACGCCACGATCACCCCAACAAAAAAAAATAAAAAATCTCAGCAAAGACGCATTAAAAAAAAAAAATGACCCCATACTCACTGGACATAGGCATCAACTTATCAACATAATTTAGGCATTTATGTAAGCACCTATATGTGCATATAAATTTATGTATGTCCTGCGTAAGAATGGCAAATGTAATACCCTTGTAGTAACATGCATGGTTTAAACGTTGCAACAGAGTAGGCATTCCGCTTGATCCCTAGTTGATTGAATTTGGTTAGACACAGGAAAGACTCGACCATGAAAATATAAGATTCAGCTGGACTCAGCTGAATCATAGAAATGGGGCTTCATCCCAAGCCAAATTGACTTGTGTGAGTCCCTAATTTTTGCCAATTAGCAAATGAGCTAAACAATTTGGAACACAAGGGGAGCGCACACACATACACTCTAGAATATGTAAGTCAATACATGGGAGTAAAAAACACAATAAAAAAACCATAACGCTTCCATGATGTTTTGTTGATTGCAAATGAATCATGCACCATATCTCTTCATGGTTGCCAACCAGGCCTTTGGCTTAATGGTGTGACATCCAGTTTGCACTGAAAGACGTCTAAGGCTCGACGTCTATCTCATAAACAAGCTAACTCGCTCACTCAAAAGGAAATATAAGAAAATATCTCTTCTTGGCCAACAGGCATTTCATAGGGAGCAGTAATACACTATTTCTACAAAGATTAGACACAATGTCCTAACTCACTTGCACTAACCAGGTCTACTCCTTACTCATCATGCTTCTTGTTTCTAACCTAGACTTGATCCATTGTATTCCTCACTGAATTATCTAAGAAGATGGTTGGCAAATTCTAGTATATCAAGCGGTCCAACTTCATGGCAACCGTTCTTTTCAAACTTCTCATGCTTTCACCAGTGCACACCCCATTGAAACAAATGTTCAATTTGTGAAGTGTTGGTTCCTTCTTTAGCAGTTGCAAAGAAAAGTCGAAATTGAGGACTGCGCCACAACAGGAAATGGCTTAAAACTGTTCTCAAGATACCCACGGGTTCCAACATTGCCATGTGTTGAAGATTGCGCTGAACATAACCCAAAAAGTTGAAATGCAGTAATATCATGATTCTTGGGCGACGCAATTTAGCTGGTTCTTGGAGATTTGAAAATGTACATTTTTAAAGATGGAAAAGTATACAATGAGACCATTTATCTTTGGTACAAGTTGGTCACAATTAAACTTGACCATTTGATGTGAAATTCGATGGCTACATTTATATCATTGACCAAGCTCAAACTTCAAAAGAAATTTTCTCGAACTTTGTGATACACCCAAGCTATCAGATTTCGCATCGTATGGTTGTAGGTAATTGTGACCTCCTTGTATCAACGGTAAATAGTTAAATACTGCATATTCAAAGAGAAAATTTTTGAGTCATTATATTCGAAGCGAATATTTAGAAACAAATTTTCTATAGATATCACATTTAAAGCTGGAGAGTTAAAGCCTTATGGGCTCCTGAAATCGCATCCCTCCAATCCCACCATTACAACCCAAAAAAACATTTGGGTTTGAAGAAAAATATCTATAATCATATGGTTACTCAGTAGTCTAAGGGGCATCTTTAAACCATTTCCTAAGATGGACAATTAAGATCAATTGTTAAAGAGCACACCTGCATAAACCATTGGACTACTATGATCAATTGTTAAAGAGCACATCTGCATAAACCATTGGACTACTATGATCAATTGTTAAAGAGCACATCTGCATAAACCATTGGACTACTATGATCAATTGTTAAAGAGCACATCTGCATAAACCATTAGACTACTATAATTTATTGGTTCTAATCTAGCATAAGATAAACTGTTCAACAAAATACAAACCTAATTCCTTCAAATTCAAGAATCCAACTGAAGAGACTTTGGAAACTCTCTCTCTCTATCTCTCCCCCCATCTCTCTCTTTCTCTCTCCCCATCTCTCTCTCTCTCTCTCTCTCTCTCTCTCTCTACTCTCTACTACTACTACTACTACTACTACTACTAACTACTACTAACTACTACCTACTACCTACTACTACCTACCTACCTACCT